AAAAAAAAAAAAAATAGTAAAAATTAGCTAACCAGCTATTTGATTCTATAGATTTTTTTTTAATAATTCTAATACATAGTGCAATGCCCTTGAATTTATAGCTTATAAACTCAAAAAATACTCAAACAATTCTGCCAAGTTTCAAAATTTAAATTTACCTAATTAACTTTTAGAATGGAATCATTTATTAGATACTTACTTAAGTACTCAACTATATAATAGATTGTCATTAATGTAATAAGAGTAGGTATACATTATTTTTAAAAAAACTCAGATATAGACAGGCAAACCCAAACACTGTGTATGGTGTCATTATTAGTCATTACTCTATTAGGTAYAGAGCAAGTTACTTGAAATTCAAAAAAAAAATAACATCAYGCAGAACAATAGAAACAACTTATTATTTAGCACAATTCTCATTGACATGAAACATTTAAAACAAACCGTCTTAGGTAGTCTAGGAAGTAGACAATAATCTGTACATGTAGTGTACATATACCAAGTGAAATCATTGAAACCTAAGACACAATCAAAATACCTAAAGCTCACGCGATTACCAGAATTCAATAAATTTAACGATAACGTACATAAAACATCAGTTCGATCAACAAGCATAAATCGGACGGGTACCAAAATTTTAACGATTTTCGCAACATGTACACCTACCTACCACAGTACTACTCATTACTCAGACGCAGTTTGTGGGTGCATACAGATATCTACGAAATACCTATCTATATTTGTTTTGATTGACACTCACTCTCCGTGCCTTTTCGACGTGTGTTTGTGTTTTCTTTCGTCCTGTCTCGATGACATCTTGATGTATAAGTTCCGACGACGGATGCGTTCGATCAGCGGTCGATTGTRTTTCCACTCGTTGTCTGCTTCCTAACATAATATCGCGAACACCGGTCAGGCATACAACATACTTACGATATTTCGTTACTGACAATTAGAGACCGAGAGTCCGTGAATGGTAAATAAAAAAAAAATTATTAGAAAAGAAAAAACATTGGTAATGTACAAAGGCCTAAAACGAACTATGGTTCAAGGACAACAGGTGTCACGGATCAAAGCAATGCGTTTGACGTCACACGGTATTACGGGCTACATCAAACCGAAATAAGTATCTTTTCCCTTGGCCATCATAGCCATTGATGTTACCTATGACAACTCATGGATACAAAAATCTATCGATTAGATAATCAACACCACTTGGAAACAAAACCATCTAAAATGACCAATCGAAAAAGAAACGGTTAATTTGGACTTTAATCTGGCTACACTGATTGTTGCCCTATCCCGGTAATATTGTTGACAATAATCATTTATGATTAAAATTTAAAATATTAAATAATTTGAAATTCATATAGTAATGTAATAATTTATTAATCATTTGTCTTTTAGTCCATCCACAGTCATACCATGACCGTCATCTAGATCCATACGATATTAAGGTATTGATCATATTAATCTTAGTCCGTGGTTGTAAACTTGTAACCATGAAAAATATACTTGTCATATTATCTGTTATAACAAGCCATCAAAAGTAATCGACGACAAAAAAATTGTATAAGTTCTAATTAATCATGTACTGTGTAGGAGTGTTACACGTACAAGGCCGTAACTAAAAAAAAATTTGGGGGTCCAACATTATTTAAATATAGATACTCAACACTTGTCATTACCTATAACCGCTAAAATGTTTCTACTCTTATAAACTTTAGAGAGGCGGTGAATTCATAACTATTTTTATATTTACAGTTATGCAAATATAAAAAAATTACAGGGGGCATCAAGTTTGTAAAACATTTGATAGCATAGATTGAAATATTATGCAATTTAATATACATCGAAAACCCAAATACTTGTTATATTCTTTTTAAAAATAAAAATGTACAATTTTCATATAGTATTTGATCAAGAAATAGTTCTAATAATATATATTTAATGTCTTATGATATGGCGTGTCTTCCAAAATTGCAGCATTTTCTCTCCGATAACCCCATAGATAAGTATCAACCATAATAGAATTGCAAATCTTATGTGTATTATATTTTGCCATCAATTTTTTCACTTCATTTACAACATAATCAACTGCTACAATAGAAGCTGCTCTAATTTCCACTTCTTCTGGTGCTCCATGTTTAAGAAGAATACCTGTGTTAATAAAATTAAAAATAAATTACATGGCATGACATAACGTCATTGATATGAAAAAACCTCCCATGTGCTAAATTTGCAAATTTGAAATTTAGGTATCCCTGGATTCAGAATAAATAGGCAGTCATTTTGACAAAAACTGTGGTATATCAGTCGTAGAAATAATGAAAAATAATAAACAATTTCTCTTATGTGTTAACCAAACATACATTTTTCATATTTCCTGAAAATTAGGTTTAAGCACATGGGAGGTTTTTTCGTGTCAACGATGATGTTTAATATTTAACTAAATATAATTCTAACTTACCTTGTTTTAGAGTATCTTTTAATTTGTCTGAATATTCCAAAATACCAAAGTATAATAGAACTTGAGGGACTCTGTAATGCATAAAAATTTCGGATATTAGTAATAATCATCTATAATAAGTGATTTATTAATAATTAATCAAATAGGCAAATTTAAATAGATTACAAAATGCACAATAAAACAAATAAATGTAAATATATGCGTTTAATATACCTATATTTTACCTATAATCTGCAAACATGGTTAAAGTATCTATGTCTCGAAATTCACCATAACCAGTACCTCTGAATGATGACCATATGTCAGCAATCAAAATTTGAGCTCTTTTATAAATAGCAACTAAAAAAAAAAATTGAATTATTTAAATGCAATGTGTTTAATATTCACATTGATAAATAATAATTTATTATATCACCTTTTTGATTGTTATAAATGGATTCATCTCGGAAATGACAAAAATTATTAGAAATTATGTTTAATAAATTTTGAGCAGAATGAYTCGCTTCTAATATGCAGTTTACAAAGTTTCCTAACATAAATCATAAAAAATTATATTTTACAAATATTAAGTCTGCTAATAGTACAAAAGGTTATAAAATAAATAAATTTGAATAACACACCATCATATTTTTTTAGTAAAACATCTGCAGATTGTTGTAAACACAAATACCTTTCTTGTAATAGAGGAAGAGTTGTCCCATCATCTCCTAAAAGTATTTCATCCAATTGTTTTCTTGTTAATTCCAAACAAGTTTTCATATCAGTCATTTTTATTCCTTTCTATAAAAAAGGATTATTTCAATTGATTTTTAAATTTACAAAAATAACTTTCTTTTTTTTTAATATTTACAAACTTCTATAGCTCTATTGATTGCAGCACACAATCCAAAATAGCCTGTGTGTTTTTCATTTTTCCAAGTAACACTCCAATGCGATTTATTATTTGGATCAAAAAAACAATAGTTTAAAGAATCAACAATAAATATCCAATTTATTGCTTCTTCGTCTTCATTTTTTGGATGTAATGGACATTTTTTAAACTCATCAAGAGTCAACTTTTCTTCTTTTATTAATGTATAAATCTAAAATAACAAAAATGTATTATTAGAATATTGAAAATTTAGCATTCCAAGTAAATAATATTGTGGAATGGTTTGTAAATACTTAATAAATGTATAATATATATAAAAATACAGGATATTCACTAACTAAGCATGCTTAACCCATTTTTCGTTAATAATAAATTCGTTCAAATTCTGATTTTTAGAAGAAAATATGGTCTTTAAGTATGTCAGTAGAATTACAAAAACCAAATTTTGAATAACTAAATTATTGTATAAAAAAGGGAGTTAAAATGTTTGATGAATAACCTTGTAACTATATTATATCATGAATAATTGGTAAATTTAAAATTGAAGTTGTCCACAACATTTTATCTATATTTTAATTGACTTACATTAAATAATAATTATATAATTAAAAATCTAAATGTTAAGAAGGAGTCACACACACGTATGTATCCTCTCCATTTTACAAACATAAAATTTACTAATATAGCAAATTCAAGGTGGTGTCTTTTTATTTCTTAATAATAATAATAATAATAATAAGCATTAAAATGTAATGATAAGCTTAATGATTGATAAAATATTAATGTAATAAGCTAATAAACACAATTATAAAATACCTTTAGTGCCAATTTTGGAATATTTGATGAAATAATTTTCACATCTTTAGATTGACTAATTACTTTTTGACAAGTATCTAATACTTCACTGACCATTTTGTTCTAAGTTTAATAACCGATAATTATGTATCAAATAAAAAAATAAAATAAAATATTATATTTTTTTTAATTGCATAAGATACGTTAAAAACTATTGATCTATCTAATAAATTATGGACGTTAATAATTAAAACAGTACAGACTATTACAGTAGAATAGAGTATTATGTATAATATATTAATTTACTCTGTTCAATAAAAGTCTAGAAGTCGAAGAACCAGTAATGTTAACGTTCAAATGCTCGTCGCTCGACTGTAGATTGAAGAGTGAAGACTGAAGTCTGAACGTGGAACGTCTGAAGTCTGAACCTGAAATAGTGAGTGTGAGATCAAAGTATCAAACACCTGTACTTATTGGTGAGATACTGATTACTGAATTACAACAACTGATTACTATGATAAATAATTATTCTTTATCATGCTGACTACCAAATACCAAGTTACTGCCACATTACTGTCAACGATTATGATATGCCAAGTCAATTTTCTGCTATATTCGGCCCACGACAAAACAGTAAAATATACTAAATAAATCAGAAGTTTTATTTAATAGATCTTTTATTTAATTAAGCATRATTTAAGAATATATCTTTGGTAACCTTCCATCTTGACATCAGCTTCTAAGACCATGTTTCTGCCTATTGGCCATTGGGCATTGACTATTTATGGAATATGAATATTTAATTTTAATCTATAAAGATAAAGAACCTAACCATGGTCTTGTTTGACAATTAGTGTTAACAGCATGCTGTTATCACGGTAAACGGCGGTACATGATTTGTTTACATAATACATAATTTTCGACACTTGATCATTGAGAATAGAGCATAGCGCAAGTGTTCCACACAAAGCATAGCTAGACACTCCTTGAGAAACACTTTGTCAGTGTTTTAATTTTACATGTTGGGTTTAGTTTGCGTTCACCATTGAGTCCGTTACATAAATCACAAGTCCGAAGTCGTCTCTTGGAGATTTTGCTAGTGAACGAAGTGAGCTATTTTTCAGGCGTTCCTGTTTCTGACGATGATTTATTCCGAGGACAGCGAGGGGATGACGCAAGACGTTTTCAAAGCAATATTCGTCAACGATTTCGATGGCCTCCAAAAGATCTATGCCAAACATGATCTGAGCACTGATATACTGGAYGAACATGGCATGACGCCGCTCCAACATGCCGCATACAAGGGTAACGAGCAAATCGTCCGTTGGCTGTTGAACAGAGTAAGTTAGATTATTTTTTGTTGTTTTCCATTATTGATTGTTTTATCCATTATAGGGCGCTGATGTTAATTCAGGTAAACACAAGTACCAGTACACTGCTCTGCATTTTGCTGCTCTCAGTGGTAACCCTGTGGTGTGCAGCCTGCTGTTGGCTGCTGGTGCCAAAAGCGAGCTGACCAATACTGTCGGTCGTACAGCTTCACAAATGGGTGCTTTTGTAGGTGAGTACATATAGGTTAGTATATCCTATGTGCTAGGTATTAATTTATTATTTACAGGAAATCACAACTGTGTGGCAGTAATCAGCAATTATGTACCAGAAGAAGAAGTCACTTGTTACACATTACCTGACTCAAATGAAAACGAACCAAAGTTACCACCAGAGTTAGCCCAACCTGTTCACAAATTTATTATGATGGTATTATTATAATTAATATTGGCAATATCATATAATCAGATTTCAATGAGTATGATAACTAATCATTGTACCATAATATTTTATAGACCAACATCCATCCAGTGAAAGTAGCTCTAGAAATACCTCCAGTTTTCCTGATCGATGATAATTCGTCAAAAATTTTCAAAGTGCTGAATTTGATGTGTGAACGTGAAATCAACAAACAACTAGAGACTAATGAAGTGATGGCTTTTAAGTTTCATTACTTAGCCAGCATTCTGATTGAAGTTGCCAAATATAAGTAATTTCATTCTAAGAGTTAACAATACAATATAAATTACAAAATATTTTTTATCTTTTATTTATAGTGATATGAAAAGTGAAAAACAATCAGATCCAAAGGAATTATTTATTAAGAAAATATTAAAAAGTGACATTTATTCCGAACAGTTTCTAAAGGATTGTATTAGAATGTTTCCATTTAGAGATTGTACAATTTTTAGACAGGTAAAATTATTCTCCTTAGTAGCATTGAATGTTATATTTATTTTAGATTGGGCATATCCTAGAATACTCAACTAGTGATAAATCCCCTAGGTACTTAAAATAAATTAAACAATAAAATGATAAAAATAGTATAATGTTAAGTTACCTATTTTATAATGGTAAGCTTACTAAATAAAATCCTTATAAAACTACTAAACTCTTGCACTTATGTCAATTAATTGATTAACTAGATTTTTGTAAACTATTTTAAGTATACATTTTTATAGTTTAATACATTATTTTATATGGATCTTAAATTCCTAACATTGATTTTTATTTATAAAATTCAGTGTATGATAATATAATAATGTATGTAATATAAATATTACTATTTATTTGTAGATGGTTGCTAGTCTGACACGAGGTAAAGATAGCATGACAGCCCTCAACGTTATTCTGGTAATGATTGGAAATAGACGCGGTATGGGTGTAGATTCTTTTGGTGATGAACGTATATGTGGTACATGCGCTGAAAATAATGCTACCAAAAAATGTGCCAAATGCAAAGCTGTACAATATTGCGACCGTGAGTGTCAACGTATCCATTGGTTTGTTCACAAAAAAGAGTGTAACAGAGAGGCCAGTAACAATGGAACCTTACAGACATCTGTAGACAGTTCACATGTAGCTGAAAGTTTATCTGGACTAGGGATTAACTAAATTTCGACACAAACAACTCAAGTAACATTATGCTATGTATAATTATATGCTATATAATATAATGTACCTATGCATAATCATTTAACGATTGATTGACAGCATATGTTTTGCGTATTAAATTTAGACTAACATGAATGTAGAATTGTTGTTAAGTAATTTGAAAATATGTGTCATAATACAATTTGTATAAATCATGTCATTTAGAAGCCTTTGATAATAGCTTTAATATTGTCATCAAAAACCATATAATATTATAGAAGTTTGTGTGGTAAAACATTTTTGACCTTTATGCTATGTTTGTTAGACAGTGTTTTGATTTTGACATGTTTTGTTTCCAATTTAATAATAAGTAATTCTGTACCTGTTTTTGAAACATTTTTTCTAATGAATATTATGCTATTAATTTGATTCAATACAACCTGCACTTGTTCAACAAATTTTGTCTAAATATATTGAGTAATAAAACATTGTTTGCTATTTTGTGTGTTTTCAATTAGACATGATATATCTATTTATTATTGGTCATAAGTTTTGATTTTATAATAGGTAACGTTATATTGTTATATCATGCGAATGTTAAAGTTAAGAAAATTAAATAACAATTAATGTAAAATAAAATAATACTACTACAAATAATTTGTTTGTATAATTGACTAAAAGTTATTTTATATCTATTAATTCATGATGTATACATATTGCATTAAAAATCTAAAATGAATTCTAAAAACCAATAATTGTAAAGTTATTGTTAAACAACTGAAGGGCTTACATAAAACATATAATATTATATAAACATAATCAATGACAAATATTTTAATTTTATTAAAAGTTAAATAAGGAAAAAAAGTGCAATATACCTAGTGATAATAATATAACAGGTATTACCAATTGCTACAAAATCATTTTCAGATTCGACGAATATTATATTTCCAAAATTGAAAATGTGCATGTTTAATAGCCGATGAACGGTGTCGACAATATTCACACACACACACACACACACACACTGCAGAGTCGGTATCGGTGACTAAAAAAACTATTGATTTCGTTAAGTCATTCCTCGTTCATTGATTTTGTTGGACAAACACTGAGATCGCTTCCTTTATGGTGGTGTTTGTCGTCATGGACTTGGATAGGAGCGGTTCGTTAGTCAACGGGCTACTGAATTTGCCTCGGTGGAACCACGACACCAATGCCGATCTATCGTAAGTATGTCCGTCTATATTGAGAAGAAAAAAAATTATTTAAATGTATTGTTTTTGCGCTCCATTCGTTATTAATATAATATAGACAATGCGCGCCCAACTCGCGGCACAGTGTGCGAATCCGACACTCGGAAGTATTGAAACCGGTCGATGAATAGATCTACAGGTCAGCCGTAGAACGAACGAGCGAAATGTTTTTTGTTCACCCGATTTTAAGTTTCTTCTTTCGAACACCGTTCCCTAAAAAAGGGGTATTTAATGGGGCGCAAGGGATCCGTTGCCCTCGCCCGTTCATTTGCACTTTTTTTTTATTATATCGGTTGTAGAAGCACGCACCTTTAAGGCTTTAAGCCATGTGTATGCATCAACAATGCCCCAATATTTAATCTATTCGGATCGTAGGCCTACCTGAACATATCACGGGRTCTCTGAAGATCTGCTGCGTTATCGGACAGATGAACTCGTCGGGTATATCAATTGATGACGATAGCTTAGACAGTGCCACTTCCAAGTCTCGTTTGTCGTCATCATCTGCAAACGAAAATCATTGCCTTTAGTCGGACCTGTATATAGTATCATAAATTAAAATAATAAAATATATCAATAAATACTATTCCACAGTACCCGAGTGGGCGCCAAACAAGTATGATTTTGGGCCCGGGTACAAATAATAATGAATCCGGCCCCATTCGTGTGTTTTATAATTTAGTATAGGAAACGTAGGTGTACTATAATATCCGCCAGTGGCCCATTATTGTTCCGCCGGTTGTCGTTTTGCGCGTCAATTATTCTTCAATAATAGAAATGAAAAAAAGGYGTGCACACCCAAAGCGCAAGTTACTTTACTCACGTAATATTTAATTACGTACCTATAGTAATTTAATTCATGTATATCAGTCATTATTYTATTATACGTGCGTTTGTGTATGAACAATTAATATACAAATTTGAAAAAAGGTTTTATAAGAAAGCAATATAAAACAATGACTTTTCCTTAAGGATTTCGTCCGTTGGCGCCCGCCTGGAAGGAGAAAGCTGTGCACATTTGCCGTAAACATGTATTTTCTGAAATTTTTTTTATATAATATACCTATTATGGTAATAAATAATAATTAATACATAACAAATTGAATAAGTGGTTATATGATAAAAAAATAAATGATTCTCATAATAACAAATCCTGTCAATCCAATACCTATTTAACAATTAATTGATATTGTATACATTTTTACGTATATTTACAAGCTTCCTCCTCCCAGCGGATAGTCTACTGTCTATTGCTGAGGGTGACTGTTTTCGATTAAATAATTATCAATCACACAGACGAGTGGAGGGCCGGACAATGAACCATACCTAGGTATATGATAATAATTGCTTTTACCTAATATTATGCGGTAACTCTAACACACTTACCAGCCATGCCGTTTAATCGTGCTCCGCGTGTTTCAAATGACGCCTATCAATTAAAAAAAAACTACAAAGTATAATGTTTTCTTATAAATATATCATGGTAATTCGTGCCACGGTGGTCAAACTGGCGTAAACTACCTTCATAAGTGCATGTACATATTATAATCTGATACGAATAATATAATAATATCTACATAAAATTAAATAAATACAAGATTATAATATGCATTTTACTATTTTAGGCCCAAGAAAAATAATAACGCCTAAAATATAGGTAGGTACATTCATATTTATATGCGCAGACATAATATGTGGATAGTGTGTACCTACCTATTCACTGTACTAGTGTGTTATAAACTTATAAATATATTATACCGTGATAAGTTACCTAATATTTTGCGAATTAAATGCGCTGTAGTTACTTACCGATTTCCTAATTGTCGTGGTGTCTTCATCGTCCAACGGMAAATTCCATAAAAACAGCGCTTTGTCCAGCGACCCTAAAATCACAGAATCATGTGCTAAAATATTGTTAACGATTTTGCATCAACAGACTACCAACAGGCATTTCATTAACTTTGACCTATTATAGAGTCACAGTTTAACGATGGTAAAAATATAAAATTATAGATAACTATTAGATATATGTATCTACGTATTGCTCACTAGTTAGGTCCATAAATACAATATACATATTATTATAATTTATAATAATATCTACAAATAATTGTATACCTATATATGTAACCTATTGTAAACCAACGCCAATGGCCTTTGACGCCGAGGCTTAATATAAATAATAATAATATCTACCGTATATCATCGTGGAGATATTAACAATATTATAACGATTTTATATTTACACTATATTATGTACATTGTACACTGTAGCTGCGTCGTGAGTGTTGGTGTGTCTATTTTTATTGTAATTTTCTTTCAAAAACTATCATACTTATAATTATTATAGTTCAAATTCGTTTTAAAAAAACAAACGAATTTAATTASATAAACAGTGTATTATATTATTATTATTAGATATTAATTACACCAGATTCAATAATTGTATGTAAAATTGATAATTAGGTAGGAATTGTTATAATAACCTGTAGCTAATATTTTATTATTTGACGAAAATGAGCAACAAGTGAGAATGCCGTCTTTGGGATCGATGACATGCAGACAATCTCCAGTTTTCTATAAGATAATAAAAAAAAAGCATTTAAAATATACACGCTATAAGAAATAAATAACATGAAATAGCAGCAAAGATATGAAAATATATCAGGAGACGTTCAAGCCTTCAGAGTATTTTTTAATACATTTTTTAATTAAACACTTATATTCTATAAAAATATTTTTAAGGAGGCCTAGCCTCATAGGCACAAATAGTGTTTGAGATTTGTTGAGGGACTCCAGAAGCTCAGGTTT